AAAAGGCTAATCATAAAGAGTACAGTTAAGATTTTTGTAATAAACTCAGGCTGGGTGAGAACTCGGAGATACAACGATTTGTCTCAAGCAGCACAAGCATGAAACTGTTTAACCTTGTACATCCCTCGCCATCAAATCATGTGAGGATGTGTTTTCTTGCTACATTTTGTGGAGAGGGAATGTTTGTGGAGAGGTGTGTCTACACAGATTAACCCTTCAACACATCAGTCAAAACTAGTTTTTAACCAGGGCCCTTTTTCCCCCCCTCTCACTCTCTCTCTGAACATTCAGCGAGTAACTATCTCTGTGTGTTTATTTATGTGCGCACGCTGCAGGATTCAAATGCAAAGAAACATCACAGCTCAACCACCAAAATGTGTCTTCCGCAACGTGGGAGGCAAAACCCCGAGTGTACAGTTCAGTCACAACTTCTGAAAGTGTTTTGAGCGTATAAAAGATTTATGGACTACAACAAAAGACAAAGCTGGGCTGTGTTTATTATATGGAAAGCTTGCTAAAGCTGCAGGTTATACATCTTAGTTTTTGTATTCTGATAGGAAGTTCTCAACACTGCTAGGCATATTCTAGGCATGACAACCCTTAGGTTAGGGTCACACCTAAACGCTGAGTTGTGTTAAAGAACACATTTTTCCTGCACGTTAACTTGTGCGGGGTTAGGTGGCCTTTTCAAAACGAACTATAGGCAACACACTTCAATGGCCCAAAAAAGAAGTACGGTTTTCTGACAGCACACCACGTTAGTGCGTTACAGCGCAGCCCCATCAGCAAGGTGCATGGGGAGTGCCATTCAGAATGAATGGCACCTCATCATACCAACGCAAGAAATGTGCACTGCCACGCGCTCCCACAATGCAGAAATGTGCATGGCGCCTACACACAAAGGGGGTATTTATCAAAACTGCAGCAGAGAGAATCTGGAGCAGTTGCCCATGGCAACCAATCAGCTTCTCTCTTCAGTTTGCTCAGGTAAGATTTGAAAAATGAGACAGAGAAGCTGATTGGTTGCAGTGCAAATTTGCTTCAGATTTTGTCTGCTCCAGTTTTGATAAATCCCCCTCAAAGTGTACAAGAGCTTTCTAGAGGGCTCTATAAACTGATCCCGATTCATCTTCACAACGGCAACAAAATTGCATTGTACATTATGTAACCATTGCCTTGCTGCAGGCTTGGCCATGCACTGCTTGAATTGTGGCCGTTTGCCCATCAGTACCCCTGCGTTTGACAAAAATGAATTTTTCAATCAACCGCTGTCATAGGAATCAGTTTGCAAATTCTCGGCCGAACAGGGGCGTCAGCCAATCAGCTGCAGTCAATATTTTGGTATTTTGACAGCTGCACCCCCACCGATGTCAGAATATAATAGCCCAGCAGAGGAGATTGCCCAATTCATGCTGTTTAGAGTAATCTAGCCTTTGTTTCCTGATAAGAGATAAAATTACCAGTGTATGATCATCAGGGTCTATCAGACTTAGTCATGTAACATGGCACTATATAAATCCTGTATAATAATATTGATGAAAAATGCAGCAGCAAGTGAGTCTCTGTGCAATGGAAGTCACAGCCAGAGGCTTTGCAAGTAAACTGATATTCCAGCACTGAAACATCAGTTTCGATGGCAGAACTCCTTACAGAGACCATCATACAGACTGAGTGTGTGGACTGATCACCCGAGTACATGGCTGGATGCACTATGTATGTACATCAGGTGAGAAGACAGACACAGGTGCCACGGTCTGTACACATACACAGGTACATACAAATGTCATGGAGCAGAATCCAGCGATCACATTATAGAGTGACAGGAAACACCATAAACTGACACATTACAACAAACAATGGCACAATAACAAAATATAGAGTGACAGCATGCAAAGGGGGGCAGTGTGCCGGCTTCCTGACCATCTACTGAGAGCATCAATTCAAAGTGCATTGCACGGGAAAAGAGTTGGCTGTGTCCTGTACTCACATCATCAAACAGGGTCCCCACGTTGGCTGTCACCAGCAGGATCCCGGTGCCCGGAGCAGCCGCTTTCCCCGCCATACTGTGTCCAGGATCAGCTGTGTGTGGATACAATGTAGACAGCACAGTGCATGAACAGGAATCGGAGCCTGGATGGGAGGCTGTCACGGCGCTACAATGTATCCGCTCCGCCAGGCAGGACACCGGCAGACCTGTACAGCGCTCAGGGACGGTTGACAAGCTGCGGGCAGCGGCTGATCTTCACATACAACGACATCCCCCGGCCCCGACCAAGCCTCTACAGCCTCCAGCTGCTCCGATCACATGTAGCCATGCCGACCCAAGCCTGGGAAAGTTCCCGCTGACGGCTGGAGGATCCCCGAGCTCTGCAAGTTTCTGTCTCCGGTAGAATGAGGAGGGGAGGGCGTGAAGGAGGAGGAGCGGCTGTGGTGGTGGCGGGGCCTCCGCAGGCTGATTCCGGGGGAACCACAGTGAAGAGAGGCTCCGGTGTGGAGGGGTGCCTCGTCCAGCCGGAGCTTCCACTGCACCCTACACTGCTCCTCTATCAGAGCCGCGGGGACTGACCCGGGGGCCGGGGGAAGGGTGGGGGGGCCCCCCTCCGAAACGTCACGGCACAAAGAAAGCGCCGCCCTCTTAAAGGGGAACGTGCTTGTGAGCAAGCCAGTGTCAGAAGAAGAGGGGGGGCTGGCAGGGTTGAGGTGGAAAAGAAAAAGTTTAATGGAAGAGAGATAAAGTGTAATAATATTCCATGTACGGATATGCTAACTGTACCTGATCTACAGGGAATGGGCTTCACTTTTGCTGAATTATCTCTGCATATGTCTCTGGCTTTTAATATCATCATCCCAGGAAATCTCATCAATGCTTTTTTTTTACTTTTGGCTGTTGAAATTGTGTTTTCGTTCGACATAGATTGATTTCAAGACTTTGGGCCCCATGAAGGTTGTTGCCATAATGTGCAGCATTCCCGGCCTATGTGCACAGACTTACCTAAGGAAGGGAATCTCTCCAACACTCCTTTGTTGCTCCCATCTTCTCCCGGCCTTCATCTGGGTTCAGTCTCTTGATTAGCCAGGCCCAGATGATGTAACCCCGTCACAGGTTACGTCTTGGCACACAATCATGCCGGGACTGCACACTGAGCCATGCATGCACAGTTCAGTGTACACTAAACTCAGGAGTTAAATCTTAAAAATACATCCGAGTACCTTCACTATTAACAACAATGTATCTTATTTGTGTATCACTTGGCTGTAGATCCTGAAATCAGCTCTGAATTGGTGCTGACACTGTCCTTCCTTCTGGAGGATGGCTACTTTTGTTCCCCATGGTCCCTGTGTATGATGTAAAGTAGTCACCGCTCCAAGCTCACTCCCGGGATGGACTACAATCTCATGTTTAGTTTACTAATTTGTATGGAGATTGTAGTCCATCACAGGAGCAAGCTTGGAGTGGTGGCTACTTTAAAACACACACAGGGACCATGAGGAACAAAAGTAGTCACCTTCCAGATGGACGGACAGTGTCAGAGATGATTTGAGGGTCTACAGCCGTGTTTGTGACAAAATGTTGAGCTGAAGGGACTAAAATGTCAACTAACTGCAGAGTTTTATTTCTGTTCTGCAACTTTTATTAAGTTTTCTAGTGAGCTGTTCGTGTTTGCGACTCACTGCACACGTTTTCCAACATTTCACACGATGTTTCACCTGCGTGGTATTTGCGTCCAGTAAAAGACCTCCAAACTATCGCACATCCTGGAAGAGCTCCTGAGCACTTCTTAAAGTGTCGCAAAGATCATTTTCCATCTCTTCCTCAAGTCAGCTGAGTGCCTCCAGGCTATTCAGCTGTCATCCAGTTTACAGGCCGAGACAATTTGGTGACAGTTCCCCATTTATGAAGGCGTTTGAGAATGAAACCCAAAATGGAAACGGGGTTTTTTAGGTTAAACCAGATACCCACAATATGAAAAGGGGGTGCAGGGGGTGTGGCCCGCACCCGGGTGCCACCGTTGGAGGGGTGACACCAAAATGACTTACAGGCATTTTGGTGTCACCCCCTATGAAAAGTCGGGCACACGGACCGAGAACCAGACAGTGTCAGAAGAGAGGAGGGGACCCGGCGTCATACCTCATTCTGCCGGGTGCATGTCCCCTCCAGGCCCGGATTTCCCACAAGGCCACCAAGGCGGCGGACCGTAGTGTGCGGCCGCCGTCCAATCACGACGGGGCGGGCCGAGGCTACGCCCACCGGCTCCGTAGTGTGCGTCCGCCGTCCAATCACGGCGCGGC